GTGGGGGGAGTGACGCCCCGGACACCTGGGCCCCTTTTGTGGGGCTCACTGTGGGGCTCCAGCTGCCTCACGGGTCTCTATAGGTTCCCTATRTGTTCTTGGGGGGGGCTTGTGGGCTCTATAGGTTCCCTATAGGTTCCTGTGGGTGTGTGTGGGGGGTGTTTAGGTTATGTGCTTGTATTGCAGTGTTACACCACACACTTATGTAAGTATTCATGTGTTCTATAGGTTACTAGAGGCCCTAGGGCCCTATGGGAGCCTGTAGCTCCCTAGGGGTTGCCATAGGGCTCTGTAAGCACCTATAGGGCAGGATGGGGGTCTTGGGCCCCCACCTTGTGGCCCCTTATGGCTCCCTATGGATCTTCAAGGGCCACTCTAGGTCCTATTTGTCCTATGGGTCGTATAGGCTCCTATGGGTCSTATAGGCTCCTATGGGTGCCTGGGTGTCCTTTGCATTTTGAGGGGTCCCTGTAGCTTTCCAGGGGTCTCTCGGGGACCCATAGGTTCTATGGGTTCCATGTAGGTGCCCGTGGGGTTCTGTAATTCCTAACAGGTTTTTGCAGGTCCGCAGAGTTCTGTATGGATTCTATAGGTTGTTATGTTTCTCCACGGTATCCGGATCGTGGTTTAGGTCCATATTGGTGTCCACGTCCCGCTATGGGTCCCCCAGGATCTCTATGGCTCTTCGTATCTACCTATACGTCCTTACGTGTTGCTGTACAGTATCATAGATCTCTATAGCTATTTATACATTTGTGTATTCCCTTACGGGTTCCTGCAGCTCCATGTGTCCATCTATATGTTTATATATCTGTCTATGTGTCTCCGTGGGTCCTTATATCACTTTCTATGTCCCTATATCTCMCTGCGAGTCCCCCCAGGTCGTTATTTGTGCCTCTATGTCCCTGTATTCCTCTGCAGGTTTGGATATATTCTTATATCTACCTATAYGTCCGTATGGGTCACTGTGTTTGTCTATGGGTTCCTATACCTTTCTGTATGTTCTTGTATGTCCCTACAGGTCCCTATGTGTCACTATGCCTGTCTACGGGTCCCTATATGTTTCTGTATGKCCCTATATGTCCCTACGGGTCCCCATAGGTCCCTATATCTCTCTGTAAGTCTCTATGGGTCTGTGTGCATTTTTATCTCTCTCTATACGTCCCTATGGGTTCCTATATCTCTCTGTATGTCACTATATGTCTTTACAGGTGTCGATAGGCCTGTATATGTCCATATATGTCTGTAGAAGTCCATATAGATCTCTATATGTTTTTGTATATCCTTATTGGTCCCTATAGGTCCCTATATTTTCTTGTATGTCCCTATATGTTTTTATTGGTCCCGATATGTCTGTATATGCCTCTATATGTCTGCACAATTCCATATAGGTCTCTATATGTCCCTGTATGTCCTTATGGGTCCCTATAGGTCCCTATATCTCCCTGTATGTCCGCATGGGTCTGTATGCATTCTTATATCTCCCTATATGTCCCTGCGGGTCCCTATATCTCCCGGTATGTCCCTATATGTCCGTACGGGTCCCTATAGGTCTCTATATGTCCCTGTATGTCCCTCCGGGTCCCCATGGGTCCCTATATCTCCCTGTATGTCCGTACGGGT